AAAACTAAGGCAGACACCATATCTAAGGACTGGTGAGCTGCAATGTATTATTTTTTGCTTTTAATATATTCTGTCTTGAACTGCTTGCCGTCTGGCCGTAATTAAATGGGCAGACGGCTCGCACTTGAGGGCAGGTGGTTGTTTTTAAACAGCTTATCCTGCTCCTGCTTGTCGTTCCTGCCCGGGAGTGGAAAACATTGAACATTTTTACAGCCGGTGATGGCTGTTTACATACAAGCTTTTGGGCGGCTATAGAGCTGCCTGATCACTTGTATGGTGTTAGGGAAGTGTGCGCCACCGCCGCTGCTGCCGCCAGCTATCCAGGGCTTCACTGTCCCTGTGCGAGCCTGGGACCGGCATGGCGGATCTCTGCACTTAGATCAGGGGGAATTCAGCACACATCCAATGGCTGATGAAAAAAAAAAATCCTCTGCCACTACGTACACGCACATACAAACGCAGACATGTGTTGGGTGCATCTACGTGTGAAAACGATTGAATCACACGTGTTATATATCACTGTTACCAAAAGAAAGCTCTATCTGTCCCCAAAAAATGGTATAAAATTCATTTCAGTACAGCGTTGCATGACGGAATAAACGTCAGTCAAAGGACTGCAGCGCTGAATACTGAAAAATGGCCTGGCCAGGAAGGGGGTTTAACACCCCGGTCTTCAAGTGGTTAACACTAAAGTGATGAACGGTAATAGCTTTTTTTTAAAAATGGCCTATGGGCAGTTTTGGGTGAGTTACTTTTTTGCGATTTTACAGGCAAACGCAATTTCAAGACTTGACATGTTTGGTGTCTATTTATCCGACAAATCCCCATCTTTTATATTTTTCAAACAATGCTGGTAATAATAAATATTTGATAACATAGTGTAGGGAAAACTGTTTTTTTTTTTTCCAAAGCTTTCGAGTTTTCGGTACTTTTTTCTTTATATAGTAAAAATAAAACAACCCCAGTGCTGATCAAATACCACCAAAAGAAAGCTCTATGTGTCCCCAAAAAATGGTATAAAATTCAAATGAATGAACAAATATCAGTCAAAGTACCTCAGATCTGGATACTGAAAAATGGCCAGGACATGAAGGGGGTTTAACACCCCAGTCTTCAAGTGTTCCTGAAGCCTCTTCACAAAGAGAACATGCCGAATTCATAGACCACCTACTTGTTGTATGCTGTGACTGTCACTTGCAGTGAAATTGGTTAACTTTGCTACCCCAATAATATAGTGTGCAGTCCTTGAGTTGAAGAAAGGCTGCTGCCATTGGAGCATTCTAATGCCTAGAGTATTTTCTTACTGTTTGTGGTCCCAGGTTTAAATTGCTTGTTCTCTTTTGCCTTTACATCTACACAGAAGCTGGCACACACTTTATATACAGTAACTGTATTTTTGATAAGTTGCGTTTAGTTTACTCCCATCTTCATTCCCCTCCTCTGATGCTATAGTTCTACAGCCTCATGATTCCATGGAAGAAATAAAGCGATATGGGTCATCTGAGGCTTTATCCAGTCACCCTGTAACCGGTCAGGTACTTTGTGTATCACTATATCTTTTTAAAATAAACCACTTGCAAGATTTTTTTGAACTTTTAGAAAATGGACAGGTATGTATACAACTGTTATCTTACAGGGCAGTGCCATTGTTTTTTTGTGGACCCCCTGACACGATCAGTTTAAGGCACAAGTTGACAAAATACTCTAAAATCAAAGACAGCTAGGAAAATACTGGACTTATAGAATAATTTAAATATTTTATCTTAGTTGTATAAGCTTATTTTGTGGTCACCTGAAGTCCTACAGTTGCTGCCCTGTAAACTTTACTGAATGTCTACCGCTTCTTAGTGTGCATAACAGTATCAAATAACAGAGCCTACTGCTTGATCCTCTTAACTACAGGCTCTGGTATTTGATGCTGCTATGGGAGACAACATGCAAGGTCAGGACAGTAAACTATAAGGCTGGCTTCAAACATATTCATGGTCCACAGTGCACCCAAGTGCACTAGAGGAACACTCCTCCAATGTAGCCGTGTTGCAGCACACCACAAGAAAACGGTAACACAAAACTGTGCATTGTGGTTTGCGGTGTGGAAAAAAAAATAGTGCAGGTGCGATTTTTGGACCATTTTAATGTGTTGACAGCAGAGCTAGGTTGGTGGCCTGAGTTTTCTCTACTCCTTACAGATCTATTTGAACAAAAACACAATAGTGGTGTACTGTGGAAAACCTAGGCACGCCCTTGGCCTAATAAGGTGCTTCTTTAGCAGAAATGACTTCCAGTTTTTGACATCTACTGAAATTTTTGACAATTCTTCTATGCAAATTTCACTCAGTTCAAAGATGTTTGTGGGTTTCTTCGCATAAACA